TATGCGTTAGCACGAGTTTGCGGAGGGTTGGGTTTGTAGGGATTTCAGCGCAAACTACGGAATCAATTTGTTCAGGTGTCAAAAGTTTGTATTCATTACTAAATGTGACAACTAAGTGTGCATGTAGGAGACCTCGTTTTTTTAATTCTATGACATATATATATGTCGTATTCGGACCGAATATGTGTGCGTTGTGAATGTCGTGAATGAGTTGTTGTAAATATCCTTTGAAAACACTGGCGAAGAGGTCTGGTCTGTCGGACGGTTGTTGATGAGGAAAGAGATGTTGTTCAATTTCTGGCCACTGCGAATTGCAAGTTATTGTGATAAAAAAATCAGGGGGGCCGTATTCTTGGACCGCCGTCATAGAGTCTTGGTATCGCCGATGTATCTCTCTCGGCCCGCCGACAAATGTGACAGGTAAAATAATGCGTTGCTTGACATTTTCAGTGTCATCGTATTGCATAAGGTGGTCATGAATATTCTGATAGAGTTTGGCGCGAATTTCGGTTTGATGGAGCCTATTGTATAATAATCGACCATTTTTTATCTTTGCAAATGCCATGCATACATATTCTTGGAATAATCGCGAGGCTCGAAATATTGTTGTCCTTTCGGTGCCTCGGGTGCTAAGGTGGAAGGCGTAAAACTTTCGTGCCTCGATTTCTTGCGCGGAAGAGTTTTCTTCATCATCGGTTTCGAGAGCCCAGTCATCTTTGCCTGATGGGAATAAGAGAACGTAATGTAGAGGATCGAAAACGCGGTTGGTTTCGTGGATTTGGACAATACCTCCTCCGCGTCGGTGTATGACAATGTCGCGATTGGATGGTTGGTCGTGCATAAGTAAACAAAGTTCCAAAAGACCTTGAGGTCTATTGTACCTTCGTTCATGTTCGTCAATCGGTCGTGCATCAAGATTGATCACGATGTGTCGCTCGCGAATCATACCGTCGTGAAGTTCGAAAACTGTTATGAAATCTCGTACCCAACGATTACATTCAATAAGGAGGTGGTGGAGCTTTCGCAAAAGCTGTTTAATTTGTTGGACCGTCGCAAGTGGGATTTCGGGCGGGAGATCGAATCTTGTTAATCGTATGTATAGCATCATATTCATCCTATGGGTCGTATATGTATAGCTGGGCGAAAACGCGCTCGTGGCCAACATCCCGTATAAGCGGTCCGAGGTTGCTGCAGTTGGCCAACAATTCTCACCATTCCACTCCAAGCTCCTGGAGGAGGTCGCGGTTCCCGGACAACTTGCGATGCAAGTGCAAGTGCATTATTAAATTGTCGTGCACGCGATCGTAGCAAACGTCCTTGCGGTGTGTTATCTTCCCATAAACGAAGGATTTGGTCATCGGGTATGCCGACTGGTGGGTATTGCCAGAGCGGCGGATGTACTTTGCCTCTTCGACAACAAAGAGTTGTCCAGGTGTGCTCGTGCGGCCATTTCTCTGCACGACAATCTGCGCATTGTGTTCTATCTCCAAGAGCACACATATCAGTCGGTATATGTCGTAGAATTATTGATGTGGTATGTTCTCGTGCACCGTTTCGTCGGGCGAGAAGGCGGTCAGTGTGCGAGTGTCTGTATCGGCGACAACGTTCAGCATTCGCAATTCGAGCTCTTCGTGCGGCAGTTCGCGATGATTCGCCTGTGGGGAGGACGGGAAAGGGGGGCAAGGATAACAGTCATGCAAGGCATATAGAAAACAGAAAACAGAAAACAAAGTGACACGATAAGATTATAGAAAACAGAAAACAGAAAACAAAGTGACACGATAAGATTGTGGGCAAAAGGAACCGACACATAACACACATGCGGCACTTAGAATCGCGGAACATAATTGGACTTGAAAATCAGGATATCGCACCACTCGACACAACGGGTGACAAGGCGAGCGCGCATGTTTGTGGAAGATGAAGAGGCCATGGTGACAGTTTTTGTTTTTTCCTTTGTGCGAGAGATATTAAAGTGATATCCGTGGTTGTGGTCCCATCACCACAGCAAAGAGGATTGGATCGAGACTGCGAATTCGGACGTATTTGTGGAGGTGCAGGACATCGATATCGGACCGCTTTTGAAGCATCTTTGCAAAAAAACACGTCCACATTCAGACAGCTTGATCCAATCTTCTTTCTTGGTGGGACGTCACCCCCCGTGCAATTTTTTTGTTTGTCACTTCGTACTTGCGAAATTTATATGACCGAAAAAAAAACAAGGAATTGTATATGTATCTGTCTTTAGAAATTCGCACAGTAACGCATAGACAAAATCCTTTTTTTTTTTTTTTTTTTTTTTTGTGCGTCATTGACAGCATCTGGGGAGACGCAACACCGAAGCGAAGACAAAAACCAACTGGCCCAGGTCAATTGCTGCACCACTGAACTGTTGAAATACAGACCGGCGTGGACACACATTTCTCACCTTTTTTTTTTCGAAAGGAGAAAAAAAAAAAAAACAAAGAGAGTTGGATTTTGCGAGAGAAACAGGAAAGATTCTTCGGTAATTCCGCATTTTTT